CCGCCCCTCATGATCATTATCATTATCATCCAAGCAGTGCCTCAAACTGGTTACACTGTTTGCTCAACACAGTTGTATCACAAAATGTGCCTAGGGGTTTGGGAGATTCACTGAGAATCATGAGATAGGAGACCAGAACTTGTGTGGGGCTAGATTGTGACTGTCTTTATATGCCATTTTAAATAGTAGTTGATCGTTGAGGGGATCCTAGAAGCTCTGGTTCTTTGAGAGTCATTTTGTACCAAAACCACAGGATTTGTATTAGTCCTATACAATTCAGTAGAAGTCACTAAATAAATTAGTGAATAAATGCATTAAGTTTAGAGACTACATGTTTCCCTTAAAGTATCCCATTGAGGGAGTAGATGCTTGTCTTTAAGCAATAAAGGTCCTATGAATTTCTAAGATTTCTTGCAAACCTCCATTTCATCCTAAGGTATAGATGTCACTTTTACATTCTATTCCATATTATGGACATGCTTTTTTAATTCGAAAAATACTGCATCTCACTAGGTAAAAATAATATCCAAGAATCGTGCTTTCTCAGCTCTTGGCTGGGAATGCATTACTTCTCCACGCCTCTCTGTCTCCCCCTTGGCATGCCCTGCCACAGCAGTCAGCGTGCTGTCTTACCCGTGATAAGTGAAATGGAGATGGTTAAGATATGGGCAAAAATGCTAATATACTAGAGGAAGCAATAGTGCTAGGTTAAAATTATAGGTAAGAGCTATAATTAGGTAAGACAAGAAATTAGTAATAGGAAGGAGGTGGAGGTTTTTAATTAGGATTTGTATGCAAGATGGGAATAATGATCTTCCTAGCTGGAGTACACCAATATAAGGAGGTAAGGAAACAATAGATGTTTATCAGGAATAGCAAATAGTTTGACTACATTTACATAGACTATAACAGTGGGAGATAAGGTTGGAAAAGAAGAGAGTCCTGAATTCAAAAGTAGGGATTTGGACTTTATTTTGGCAAAAACAAAGAAAATTAAAAGACGTATGTGGTAATAGTTTAGAATTGCCTGTTGATTCTACCATTATTTCTCCTCTATTAAATAAGAGTTGTATTTGATTGGATTGTGGGCAGAGGACAATGAGATATAACCTCACACCTGTCAAAATGCCTATTATCAAAAAGACAAGAAGTAACAAGTGTTGGCAAGGATGTGGAGAAAAAGGGGATGTTTGTCCACTGTTGGTGGGAATGCAAACTCGTGCAGCCACTATAGATAACAATATGGAGGTTTCTCAAAAACTTAAAAATAGAACTACCATATGATTCAGCAATCCCACTCCTAGGTATTTATCCAACGAAAATGGAAACACGAACTCGAAAAAATACATGCACCCCCATGTTCACTGCAACACTATTTACAATCGCCAAGACATGGAAGCAACCTACGTGTTCATCAATAGATGAACAGATAAAGAAGATGATATATATATATGTATAAATACAATGGAATATTACTCAGCCATAAAAAAGCATGAAATCTTACCATTTGCGACAGCATGGATGGACCTGGAGGGTATTGTCTTAAGTGAAATAAGTCAGACAAAGACAAACACCATATGATTTCACTTATATGTAGAACCTAGGAAACAAAACAAACATAAAACAGAAACAAGCTCGTAGATACAGAGAACAAATTAGTGGTTGCCAGAGGGGAGGGGGATTGTGGGGAATGGATGAAATAGGTGAAGGAATTAAGATGTCCAGTTATAAAATAAATAAGTCATGGGGATGTAATGTACAGCATAAGGAATATAGTCATTAATATTGTAATAACTCTGTATGGTAACTAGACTTGATTATGGTGATCATTTCAGAATGTATAAAAATATCGAATCACTGTGTTGTACACCTAAAACCAATATAATATTGTCAGTCAGTTATACTTCAGTTTAAAAAGAGAATTGTATTTGATGTATGACGATAAAGTAATGACACCAGTATTATTATAGAAAGTCACTTCTTCCAAAAGAATGCCATACTCTGCAACAGGGAAACAGGATGATTATTTCCATATTGTTGCCATTACCCAAAATAATTTTAAAGCTTTTGGAATTGCCTTCAAAACCCATTTTACATTATTTTAAATGTTGTTTAGAGTGGTAAATAATACTTTTATTTCATCATAGGTGCACGTCTTAAGACTAGCTAATTCACTTTGAAAGAACTGCGTTTGCAGATTCAAATATGTTGCTTCCATTTTCATGCTGTAAATCTTTTCTTGCTTCCTTGAGCTAGACAAAAATTTTTGTTAATACTAGTTAACTTTTTTTATGAATATATACTTGCCCATGTGCATTTTATATACCTGCTTTTATTAATAACTATTTTAGTCTCATATTATAACCTGGGAAAGGATTGAATAAATTTTGAATAATGAAATAATCTGGGTTGAAACTAATATTGATATTTTGTATATGTATGTATATATACATACAGTCATAAGATTATTTTGAAACTCAAAAGGTGAAAAAGCTGAAAAGCAAAATACGTCATTGTTTCTATGTAATTCCAAGTCTATTCCTAAACATCCTAAGAGAATTTTGTTCATGGAAATAACACTTTGATTACTTTTTAAATTTCAACTGGAGGTTTTTTAAACACGTATAATGATTAAACAGAATATGTGGACATGGTTTTCTTTTTAAGGAAAAAGAACGGTTAAAGCAAGAAAAACGTGATGAGAAAAGATTAAATAAAGAACGTAAACTAGAGCAACGAAGATTAGAATTAGAAATGGCAAAGGAACTAAAGAAGCCTAATGAAGACATGTGCTTAGCAGACCAAAAGGTAATTTATCAAGTAAACCATTTCATTAATAAATTTAATTTTTTCTGTGTTCTCACCTGATTCCTTTGCCAGAGCTGCCATTATGAAAGCCTTGTGTTTTTAGCTGGTGCAGTGGATTTCCAAGTCTAGGTCAATCTGTCTCTCCTGGATGGCCACCAGTAAACCTCTCTAGAGCCCTGTGCTGATAATGGCAGTTCTTAATATACAAACGGAACACTGTAAACCTTTTTAATTTAAGTAGAAATACTGCAGACATCTATAAAAATGAATTATAGAAATAGATAGGATTTCTGTGTTTCATTTCGTCCTTCCCAGGCATTTAGTTACAGAAAGATCTAACTCCTCCCCCATGCCTCCATGGATATTTAAATAAATCAGGATTTATAATCTATAACCTCCTTCAATGCTTTAGTGATGGTAGCTAACTATTGAGTATGTTTAGTACATGCCAGGCCCTATGCTAAGTGCTTTAAATGAATTTTCTCATTTAATCCTCACCACAGTCCTATAGGACTGATATTTATGCCCATTTACAGATGAGAAAACTTGAGACACAGAGAGGTTAAGGAACTTGTTCAAGATTATACAGCTCATAAGTGGCAACTTGGATGCAGTCCCCAGTTTTTTAAACTCCAGAGCCCATACTGTTTATGATCCTGAAAGCCAAGAAATGTGTCCAAGCAAAGTACCTCATGTGTGTTTTCTCTTCCATCATGCTTCACAGATTTATAATGTTGCTAAAATACAGAAAAGTAGCAACTTGGAAAGAGCAAAATCACCGTGATAACTGGCGTGATTTCACATACTTATGAATAGAAATCAATTATGTTTGGCTATAGTTAAGAAGATAGTATTCCTAGAAAATTATACAATAATGCATACCATATCTACAATAATACTGTCTCAGTAATAGAATATTATACTTGGTCAATAGCATCTATATTTACTTACATGCCATATGATATACAGATAGTGCTTGTCTCTTGATCATGCAAGCTCTTTTCTAAAGTGCTTAAAGCAAACTTTTAGTGCCCAAGTGGAAACTTTAATGATACTAATATTCTATTTATTTACCTAGCATAAATGCTTCTAAATAAAAATGAAAGTATACATTCTAGTTTCAGTCAATTGGATGTTTAAAATTTCCTAAGCACAGAATGGGTATAGTGGTTAGTCAACACATTTAATAAGCTCCTGGTGAGCAATTTTTTTAATCCTAAGTGAGCTTTATTTTCTTGCTAATCCTAAATGATCTTTTTTTAATCCTAAATTGTCCTAAGTGATCTTTTGTTTTCATTTAAATCCATATGCACTACATCAAATATTTGTAAGTCCATTTTAAGCCTTAACTTTCGTTAGCTTTGTTATATAAATTTTTAGAATCATATGGAAATGTGTATGTCTGATCTGATTCAGGAAAAAAGAAAACTCAGAATTAAATGGTTTTCATATGTAACAAAAGATTTGTATGATATCAGCAATTGTCCATAGTTCTGTGTTTCCACACACTATTAGTAGAAAAAGTCTTTGGTTAGTTATTTCAGCAAGCACAGAGTGGAGGAAACGTTTTTGAACAAGGACAAATTTAGGTAAATAGAAATATTTACAAGCCACATTTTTCTCAATCAGAATTGAAAGTACTATTATTGAATCCCATTCATGGACAAAAATGTTTTTAATTTAGGTTACTTATTTATCTAACTTTTAAAATGTCCATAACAACTGATAATACAGTTTAGTCATTAAAATGTTAAGATGTGAGCATATTTGAGAAACAGCAAGAGAGCTCTCGAATTTTAACACTGAAATTCAATGTTTCACTAATATACGGGAAACCTAAAGACTGATAGTTGCAGTATTACTGGGTTCTTGATAGGGTCATGGGTTCTGGTCATGTGGACCTAGTAATTTATCTGCGGTCATTAGCCAAAGATAGTACTCTCTCCAACCATACAGCACACAGACGCACACTGTTAACTTCTGAGGTCCCAAAAAAGTGTGAATTATAAATCAGTCTACATCAGTAGAAGAAACTATTGCACGTGCCCTACTAAGTATGTCCATGTTAAAGTACTTTTGAGATGTTTATTTCTTATGTTATCTGATTTTTGGTCCAGTTGTATAACGTGTGTTTTATCAATACCTAAGTTAAAATTAGTGTTCTCTTTTGCAGAGATCTAAGTTCATGTTGAGTTCAACCAAAATTTATTAGTGGTTACTTGTGTTCAGGATTCTATGCTTAGTACCATGGGGTTATAGAAATGCCCCCAGGGAATTTACAATCCAGAGGGAAAACCACTGGTATAATGCAAGAGAAAAATAGCAACTTACTTTACTTCAGGAGCTATAAAATCATGGCTTTTTGAATTACTTTTTCTCTCTTTTCTTTTATTTTCAGCCTTTGCCAGAGTTGCCTCGTATTCCAGGACTTGTTCTCTCTGGAAGTACATTTTCAGACTGTCTCATGGTGGTGCAGTTCTTACGAAACTTTGGTAAAGTTTTGGGCTTCGATGTGAATATTGATGTTCCAAACCTGAGTGTTCTTCAAGAGGGATTGCTAAACATAGGAGACAGCATGGGTGAAGTCCAAGACTTGCTTGTGAGGCTCCTCTCAGCTGCTGTATGTGATCCAGGTCTAATTACAGGATACAAGGTAAAAAAAAACCCAAAATATAATATTTTAAATTTGTACTATCAGTGAGTGCATTGATAGCTGGCTTTAGTGTATTAGCAGAAGATTGTATAGACAGATCCAATTTTTTCTACATAACTTCTTACAAAGTTAAAGGTAGATTGGTACAGTTGGTGCAAACTTAGGAAAACCTGGTTCACAAAGCCTAAGGAATGTAAATCATTACCAAATTACTTTCTTTCCCTCTAGCTTTTGGCAAAAAGCAGTCTGATTTAAGGAAATACCTAAGTGATATTCAGCAAAACAGAGAATTCTTAATTCATAAAGCAATTAACTTGTGTGTGCCTTCTGAAATTATACTGTGTTCTTTCTGAAACACTATGAATAACCGAGGCTAATCAAGGCCCCTACAGGCCAGCGTGTTAAGATACTGTACTGCTAAGTGGATACTCAATAAGTCAAATTTATCTTAATTCCAATTAAGATACACATTTCAGTCAGCTTTGCTCTAGATAATGTAGAGAGTATCTTCCAGATGCACGTGTTACTTTTTTTTCCATCTCCCTATTCATTCAGCATACTAGGCAATAAAATCCGTGACACATTGCTAGTACTTTTCAACCTCTCCCCCACTACCACTGGTAGAGCTTGGGAAAGCTTGGGATAGTGTCTGTAGTCAAAGAGGGTATGGTGAGACCATTTTTAGCCACAAGTTTACATACCCTTCCCCCCACCGAACTTTTTAACCAAGGGTTTGAAGAAGGAACAGAAAAATTACAAGTACTTGAAAACTTGTCTATCATCTGTTGACTAAATGACGTTGAACGTCATGTTTTATCGCCACATCATCAAAAATGTGAATAAAGCCCTTGTCAGTAATACCTAAATCATATAATACCAATATTTAAAAGTCTTATTGTTTATATCTTATGAGTCGTCGTGGTCAATACTGATAAAAATGCCAACCTTTTATAGGCCAAAACAGCTCTTGGAGAACATTTGCTGAATGTTGGCGTGAATCGAGACAACGTTTCCGAGATTTTGCAAATTTTTATGGAAGCACACTGTGGACAAACTGAGCTTACTGAAAGCCTGAAGACCAAAGCTTTTCAGGCTCACACTCCAGCACAGAAAGCCTCAGTTCTGGCTTTCCTGATCAATGAACTGGCGTGCAGCAGGAGTGTGGTGAGGTAAGCATATGCCCAGACATTTCTGGTGATTCTTTTCTGTTTTGAATTTGTCTGGTCACAAAGTAATACAAATTGCTTATAGAAAATTTTGAAGTTACAGACTACCACAAAGAAAAAGATTAAAATTACACTAATCTCACCATTCAGAGATGACTACTGCTAGTAATGTTTCAATGTGTTTCTTTGCAGTCTATTAGAAAAGAAATTTTGAATCATACTGTGTATAGTCTTTGTAACCCGTTTTGTTTATTTGGTAATTTTGTTATTTATTTGTATACTCAAGTGTAAACAGTTTTTTCTTGCTATGGCTCCAGAATCCAGCACTGTTGCAAAAACCTAGAATTTTTCTTTTATCTTTTGATGATAAATGACTACCTGATTTTCCTTAGTGGCTGCCATTTGTAGAATTATCTACCTACTTTTTATCATGTGCTGATACAATCTTAATATTATTTATTTATTGTGTATTAATTTGCACTTAAAGAAAAAGTACTTAATCTCATTTCAGAGTCAAAGTAAGTCCTCCACTATAGTATTTGAAGATTTGGTGAACAAATTCCATGTTTATCTTGTTCTTACTATTCATTATTTTACAGATTTTAATTATGTTGCTTTTATTCCTTTACCTTTCTCAGAAAATAATCAATCCAAACATTTCAGAGCCATGCATTTCTACCATTGCTGGGCATCTTTAAGTTTTCTACACATCTCTTAGCTATGTATTAATATAATTTTTCATTTGTTTTTGCTATTCATTGGCAATCATCATTCGTACTTACCCCCAAACTGCATCATTTTGCTTACCAAATTAATGTATTGCATAATGGATTAATATATGTCTTCTAATAAACTTTTCCATTGGCAGTGAAATCGACAAGAACATTGATTACATGTCAAATTTGAGGAGAGATAAATGGGTGGTAGAAGGTAAACTCCGCAAGTAAGTCATGTTTTATTAAAACTAATATACTGTTTTCCTTTTTTGCAAGTTTCTGAGTAAAACATACAAATTGCAAAGGTAGAATTTAAACTTTATTTTGTCTAAGAATTAGAAAAGGTAAAGCTTAATTAAGGTGAGATATGAAACTAATAAAACTCAGTGCCAGAATTTTCAGTAGACAAAAGGTATAATGAGATTCACTGAGCTCATATGCTTCAAACTTAGAAGAAAGTCAGTTTATCTTTTTTCTTTCAAAGAAGTCAAGCAATCACATATTCTAAGATTGTTGTTGCTATCAGGTTATTTTTGTCACAAATAGAATCTGTTTGGAACTACTACTTTTTTCCTTAATTGCTTTCTAACTAAAATTTGCTTTTACAGAGAGCCTAACATATCCAAATGTATTAAGCATTAAAACTTAATTAGGGGGCTTCCCTGGTGGCGCAGTGGTTGGGAGTCCGCCTGCCGATGCGGGGGACTCGGGTTCGTGCCCCGGTCCGGGAGGATCCCACATGCCGCGGAGCGGCTGGGCCCGTGAGCCATGGCCG